AGCAATTTCTTAACATACCGGTATGAAGCAGCATAACCATAAAAAAGTAAGAGATCACTTCCAAAGATAAGACCGTACATGTTTTATATATTTTAATTAAAATATATTATACGCTTGCAATTAATCTATTTGCCTACATCAAATGCTTAATGCGATATTACTATATGTACGTAATATATGTACATAATACAATTCGTCGAAATCTTTTTTTTATGTATGTTCACCGATTACTCGAAGAAGCCTGAACCGATTTGGAATTTTTTTGTTTTGTTTGAAAGGGTATACTTCCTAGGTGGTCCCATACAAATTTTATCGAAATCGGTCGAGCGGTTTTTAAAAAAATCAACAATAAATATTTTTTTTAAACAAATTGTTTAATCGAATATGTTATTAAAAACTTTCTTCCTACAAATTACCTGCTTATTACGTCTAAACAAAAATATAAAAATAAAAACTTAAAAAAACCGACTTCCGGGCGCTAAAATGTAAAAAATAACTAAATGGGGTTTTTCATTTAGAATAGATACCTAATCAGATATTTTCGAAGTCGGTGCCAGCGGACAATATTTTAAGATATGAATAATAGAATATCTAATTGGTAAATATGTATTTAACGTATCAAAATATATTAGACATCCTATGCAACGGCGGGCACCGACTTCGAAAATATCTGATTAGGTATCTATTCTAAATGAAAACCCCCGTTTAGTTATTTTTTACATTTTAGTGCCTGGAAGTCGTTTTTTTTTTAAGTTTTTATCATATATTAATAGTATAATAGTATTATAATATGTTAATACTATAATATAATAAATAAAATAATGATGTCAATATTTATTTATATTGAATTATTAAAAGGAAATTTCTGCCTCAAATTCCTATTCCGTGATGAAATGATTAGGACGCAACAGAAAACATCAATACGAAGTATGAATATATTTTTCATAAGTGTTACTTTGCGGTCTTTTTTCGCTTGCGCTTTTTCGCTAACAACACTTAGGCTTTAGACGTCATATATTTTTATTTATACGTATTATCAACCGACTTCAAAAAGGAGGAGGTTCTCAATTCGACTGTATGTTTTTTTTTTTATGTTTGTTACCTCAGAACTCCGTCATTTATTAACCGATTTGGACAATGTTTGTGTCGTTTGAAAGGGTATACTTCCAGATTGGTCCCATTTAAATTTCAAAAAAAAATATCACCCCTAAGGGTGGAAAAATAGCTAATAATGAATTTAACCTACTTCTAATTGTCATATTGATTTGAAACTTTGCAAGTATTTCTATTTCCGTTGATAATACAGTGGTTCGGTATTGTTGACCTGATCTGATGGCAAGGCCAGAAGGTGAATAGGTGGAACTCTTCAACGGCTAATAGTAGATACTTTGAGTTTGGGCTTATTTTGTTTGATTTGACAAGCCTAACACGTTAGAATCCTTACTTTTCTACTACTGTCTACACTAAAAAGGGAAAAATAAAAAATTTTTAACAAAAAAATTAAAACCGACTTCAAACAAAAGCACTAAAAAGTAAAAAATAACGATTGGTAGTTTTCATTTACTATACATACCTAATCAAATATTTTCGAAGTCGGTGTGCTTTGGCTAAGTAATTAAAGCCTACCTATTAAATACATACCTAATCAAATATTCTCGAAATCGGTGCCAGCCCATACAAAGCAAAGCACACCGACTTCGAAAATATTTGATTAGGTATGTATAGTAAATGAAAACTACCAATCGTTATTTTTTACTTTTTAGTGCTTTTGTTTGAAGTCGGTTTTTATTTTTTTGTTAAAAAATTTTTGACGATACGTTTGGCTCAGTTTGTGGTGACTCTACTTGCTATGCCAGCGGTCGCGGTTTTGAGCCCCGCTGGAGGCATTCATTCGTGTGATGAGCACGAATGTTTGTACTTCAGTCATGGGTGTTTATATTTATAATATGTATTTAAAGTTATATTCATGTATGTACATGTATGTGTAGTATATCTATTAACGGTCTATTATCCATAACAGAAGCCTCGTAGCTAACCATGGAACTAGATGGTGCTGTGTGTTAATGTCCCAACATATATATTTATTAACAGTACGTTTTATGGTATTTAGTAATTTTCATTGACAATGAGATATTTAAAAGAAGTTGACTTAAAGTTTTAGTTAGGTTTAGATTAAGATAGCTTTAATTAAGCTTTACATAAAGATTAAATACAAATTCTCGAAATTAAATAAAACCAGGAAATGAACAGTCGTTTAAAAGAAAATGATGTAACACTCGAATATATTATTAAACTTATAACATTTCGCGGGAGATTGTCACGTTGTCACGGCGTGGCCTCGACTTTGACGCTAAGAAAATTTCGTAACGCAAAAGTTAGAAACTCGTCGTGAGAAAAAAACTTTAGTCACTATTAGATTTCACACGCCCTTGCTCTGTCGCTCAGCTCGCCTCTATCTATCACTTTACCTTCAAAAATGTATTAAAGTACCATCAAACTAAATTTATAAGTAATAAAATCGCTAAAAGTAAACAATATAAAGACGCCATCGAATTATTTTCAATGAGAAAACGAAATGATAAACAGATCGATAAAATATTTAACGAGCGAATTATCAATATTTGTAACAAGTTATAGTTTATTTTTTTAAAGATTAAATTTATTTGTCTATTCCATTTCAATTTTTTAACACTATTCATATTTGAATTTAATTCTCAATATTCATATTAGTAAATTCTAATGACTTAATCTTTGACAATGTCAAAGTATGAAAAACAAGATGTTTAAATGGCACGCTTGTAACTTGAAAGCAATGTACTCGTAATGATTGATTGTGTGTTAAATAATGTATTCAGATTTTCTAATAATTCCATATATATCACATAATATGTTGGGACATTAACACACAGCACCATCTAGTTCCATGGCAAGCCACGAGGCTTGTGTTATGGATACCAGAAAGTTGATACACTACACTTATATAAATTTAAATACATATTATAAATATTTAAATACAAAAATTTGTGCTCATCACTCAAATGTATGGTGATGTCCCAACGGGACTCGAACCCGCGACCGCTGGCACAGCAAGTAGCGTCACTACAAACTAAGCCAAACGTGTCGTCGTCACATTATATACATATATTTTTATGTATAAATAGACAACATTGCATTAGTATCAAAGCAGGAAACAAGAATTTGTGAAGTACTTAAAAAAACGGATAGTTTAGTATTTAGCTGTGCTATTACAAAAGGCATCATCAATCATGCTCAAGAATGGCGACTTTTTATAGATTCTTCAAAAAGAAGTTTGAACGCTATCCTGTTGCATTTCGGCAATTAAGTTCCTCCAGGTCCTGTTGCATTCAACACCTGTAGATCATTTTGTTTTTCTTAAAAGAGCTTGTGCTAACTTCAAAAGTGTTTTTAAGAAAATAAGATACACTGAACGCAAATGGTTAATTTGCGATGCCTTAATAATTATGCGCATACGTCTTGATCAATATCTAATAAAAACTTATTTGTAATGACTCGGAAAATTCATTTTTGGAAGTCGCACTTTGATTGTTTCCCAAAAATTTAGGAGACTACAATAAGGAACCAGAACCCTCAGGATGGAATCGTTTACTCCATCAAAACATTAAACAGAAAAAAGGTATCAAGGCCGTTGGGACGTCTCTATTGTAGCAGACTATCCTTGAATGGCATAGAGATGAAGTTAAAATTCATAAACGAAAATCAACCAAACACAACTTATTATCGAAAAAAATGCCTTTTGCTTTATGTACATATATTTTTTGCATTAATTTAAAAGTTATCACTAAATAAGACTTATATACTCGTACTTATTTACTTAAGGATTAGAATTATAATATTTATTTTTCGTTCCGCACTTATTTAAATTTCAAAGACAATGCCATCTAATATATCTGGTAAATTTGACGTGGTGTACATGTACATATATTTTATATTACTTTTAGCAGACTTATAACTAAATAAGAAAAAAACTTTTGAATAATTTAATTTCGCAGACCTGTTTAATTATCTTCAAATGCCATCTCCTGTTTTACGGTTAAGGCTAAACTTTACATGTGGACCACGTTTAGTGCAGATTCTTTGGCCAAAAAATTAGTACTGAGTATTACCTAATTAAGTGGAGTTTTAGTTGAAACTAGGTAGTTTCTTAGATTTTTATAAGTTTGCATCGTGATTCATGTGCAGGTTGCAATATACTTGCTTTTTCTACTTGAATATCTAATAGAATTAATGCCAAATAAATAAAATAATGTCAAAACTAACCATTAAATTATTATAGTTAAAAATATAGCTTAATAAATACTTCCACTTAATTCAGTTTTAATAAAATACCAATATTTGAACATAAAAAAACGCACAATCATTGTTAGAACTGGTATTATTGAGCGATAAAAGACAAACCAGTTTTATAGAGTTTGGTGACAGACTTTTACTGGATGCATTAGTGTTCGGCGGTTTATGCAGTCGGGAGATCGGTCTGAGACGTGTTTGCAATGCACTCCTATAACCGTGAGGACAGTCACGAAAACAGGTGGAAAAATTTGCTGTCACACTTTATCCAATATTGGATGTCTTTATAATACAACTCTTTGACAAACTGCAAAATACAAAGTTTTTGAAAAGATGTTTAATTTTATTTTTGTAGCATGGAGATGGCCCACGCGCATTAATAGAAGGCCCAGCAGTGGGAAAATTATAAAGATGTGCGAGAGTTGGATTTGTTCACGATTTATAGTAATCACATTTGATTTACCGTGCGATTGCTCTAATTTTTGACTACCACAAATTAACAGGTAGTGAACTTGCAAATTGCAATGAAATAAGCCTTCGGTTAACGCTAATGTTATCATCGCTTGTTTTGTGTCACTCTCGTTCAAATTTGAATTCTCGGAAAGCTGCATTCGACTCTGGCACGCGTTGTCTTGTATATACTGCCAAGATTTTCGTCGTTTTAACGAAAAGCGATGCGCGTCAGCGGCATCGCCCGCGCAGGCGGCGCGGCGGGTCGTACGCGCGGCCGCGGCGGGCGCGTGAATGAGGCGCCCGCGCTCGCGCCTCGTCGCTCGCGTTCAGTAGTCAGTGTCCGCCCGTCGTCCGAGCTCACATTACGCACGTGGCGTCGTCCCTTGTCGGTTCCGTGTCGTCACTCGTCGTCAGCGACCGTGTTACAACTGACATAAGATGCTTGCGTTGAACGCAGTGGATACCGTTTGTGATACAGTTTCGCTAAGTGTTTAAAGTGGATTCCGGACTATACCAGGCCGTGGAGCACGCGCAGCGGCTGGAGCGCTCCCAGGCCATGTATGTCATAAATTTAGGTGAGTCCGCAATCCTTTAACATTCCTCGTTCCTCAACCTATTATTGGAACTAGACAGAACCGGTACTGGTCCGATCGGACGAGCGTGGCTCTAGTTACGGACGGATCGCTGCTCCTCATCGTGCTGGGACCCAATGTTTTTGCAATCAGCTTTCTTCTGAGCGCTCCGACGGCACTCCGGCTCTGCCCAAGGAATTGGCTCAGTGGCCCGGCGTTTATATAAACAACTAGTATGGTTCCATTTCAATTTGTGTCTTATTCATAGCGCACTCGATGTGTCTATGTATGTTTTTATTACAGTTCACGTACAGTTACGTGTGGGCGTGTGTTGGTGTGTTTGCGCTATCGGTGTTGCTATTTTTATCTTGCGCCGGTGTGAGTGCGCGCTCGTCGGTACGGTGCACTGCGAGAGTGTGCGTATCGTATCCGTGTTCGGTCTCTTATCATTTTCTTCGGTTGATATCGCCGCGAATTACTTCATGTCTGTTGTCATGATTTACTTTTAGAATTATACAAATTAAACTTCGTTTTGTATGTACATTATGATTCGTAGCCATGCCAGTAACGCATTATATGTATGTAGGCATGTTTTGTAAAGAGATAATTTAAATTTGTCTTTCAATATTGTGTTTGTATTTAAAAAAGTAAACAACTTTGTGTGCATACATTTTTAGTGAGAATAGGTACGATGTTCATTAGTTTTAAGGGTTTCACGATTACTTTTTATTACGACATCTACTATTTGTTCACGGGAGTGATTGACTCTATTTGCTGAATTGAAATTTTGCGGAACCAAAAATCACATAATCGTGACAAAAGAGTTTTATAGAAAATGCCAAATATTCGCGTCTCTAAATGTAATAAAAGTTTAAGTACGGTAATGTATGTAACATTACCATTAATGTATGTAACATTATAATATATATATATATATATATATATATATATATATATATATATATATATATATATATATATGTATATTCTTAATGTATTATGTACCAAATACATATAAATATGTACATATATAACAGAATTGTGGTTTAACCAAGTGAAGAAGAATAATCTGGAAAAAAATATTACTTAAATTTGCACACTTTATTGTAATTTAATTTACAAAGTTAAATAATAAAAATTACATAATAGCCAAATAAAACGTTATATCTTATGTGATATCAACAAGGAAATAACATTCACAGTATTTTTATTAGTGTTCATTTTTATAAGTAATCTTATATTAGATAATATATATAATGGAGGTTATATGGATTTTTATTATTAAGAAGATATGTAGAGGCCGCGTGGCGCGCTTTTGTGGTCTCATCGTAACTAAACGTCACTATCACGAACTCATTCATTTATTATTCCAATGATAAAATAAATACCAATGTTACATTAGCTTATTTATCAACTAGTGGTGCATCCTCGCTTAGCCCAGGTTCGTCGCCACTTCGGTACGTTTTAAATAGATATAAATATTTATTAGCCCACGTTAGCCATGTAAATTTTATTTTTTTTTTGTGATTTTTTCCGATGTTTTAATAGTTATTCTGCTATTCGGGGCGGAAACAAATCCAACAAATCAAAAACCATGAATATCGGTCTAGCAGTTCTCGAGTTATAAGTGTTGTAACAAACCCGACTCCTTTTTATATATATAAATGTTTCTAACCCACTAGTCGATTTTGTATAGACATAGACATACTACATACAGATAATTATAATAACTAGAGTTCGCCGAGTGGTCGAACTTCGACCATGATTATATTGTTTTTTTTTTTATTTATAAAACTAAAGCTCGTCAATATCTATTAAACTAAAACCAAAAATAAACAGATCGGTTCACAAACAAAATGTTTATTTTAATTAATTTAATGTATGTCTAATGTATTTTATATTAAAATATTAGCTTTCTACCATAATTATCTCCATATAAACTTTAACTGTGTCAAATTTCACATTCCTCCGTTAGCAAAATTTTAAAAAGGCATACAAAGTTTTTGCTTCACGAATTAATACATAATTCTGAATTTGACCACAGACTTGAACAATAAACAAAAGAGTATATATGCGTCTGTTTGTCAAATGCATGGTAGTGTGTGTAATGTTTTTTTATTGATTTAATATATCTTTTATACATAAAAAAAAATTGCATTCTGCACTCCTTCTCTATATAAACTATAAGTGTGGGAAATTTCATACTCCTCCGTCCGCGCAATTTTTGTAAAAAGAGGTATAAGGTTTTTGCTTCACGTATTATTTAATAATTAATATACTCCTATAGATAAGTATGTACTATGTAGGTATAATTAAGACTCCTTTATGATACTATGTATGTTGCAATGGCGACCTGTTATTAATGGATGCATTAAAATCGTAATTTGTTTTAAAAAGTTCTATTAGTTATTTACTTAATTTTTTTCCTATGAAGTAATATTCATTTCTTTTATAGTAATTTTGCTTTGTGTGTAAATAGCTTTACACTATCGTTCCGAATGTGGAATATATGTAGTTAACAGAAATAAATTATGTCGCGATAATGACTTATATATTAAACGATACTGTAAACATTCTTATCGAAGCCGATACTATACTGGTGTTTGTTGCATACAATTGCAAGTAAATATTTTCTAGGATTTGTTCTCTTTGTCGTAACTATTACGTGAATTTTATTTGTCAACAACAGAAAATGCACATAGTGCCATCAAGTGTCATTGCACATATTATTATTCCTCAAAACACCTTTCTTTTCTCAGGAATGGGCGTAAATCCATGTAGTGTTTAATTCTTTATAACGCCTTTTCTATACCTTGATAAAATAGTAGGTACCCTGTGTCTCATTAACGGTCCTGTAATTACGAATATCTCAAATTAAAAGATGTTTGTCCTTTAATGCTACTGGATGCAGTAGGTGAACTATATTCATATTAAAAACTATAGGAAGACATTTTAAATAAATAAAGAAATAAAATTCTTATCACCTTCGCCTTTAATTTAAAGTTTAAAAAAAAACAAACCTTCAAGATTTTGCACGATTTAACACGTGGCCAAGTTTCACTATTACAACATTCAGGTATATTATCCAAAAAAACTCCATTGACGTCAGCATTCCACAATTGTCTTAAAAATATAAAAAAGATATTTTCTTTTTGCAAAAAAACATGTCGGTACTCGGTTGTGTTGAAAGTTTAAAACGTTTATTTTGTTTTTACGTAATAACAGTAATAATCGAGTAGTTAAAATAAAATCTTGTCTTTAAAAAATATATATTTATAGCTTTTATTTGTGATTACTCTTATCTCGCAAGTAGGTATATCGTAATTAATGATTCTGTCATACTGACATCTTGTGTTACTGTTATCACATTGTGTATAGATAAACGAAAGCCATTAAGTGGAACTATGTAGGCTTAAAATCATTTTTAATTTAATAATTTCTTATAATATGTACACGAAAATTTGAGATAAAATTTTGAATTGAATATTGAAAAAAATTGTAACAAAAGTTTTATTTACAATGTTAAATTTATATTTGATGGTGATTATCATGATAGCGACCCTGAAATATTCGGGGTATCTGCATATGCACTAGGTTCTTTTCTAACTACCACGTTTAGAGTAACTTTGGTATAAGCAGTTTGCTGATTGTCTGGCATTTGTTTAATGTGGTTTGAATGTATGATGATGATGACAAATGCAAAAATCTAAGTACCTGATGATGATGATGTTCTCCCGACCGATTCCGGCCACGGCGGCCAATCTCATTGAGACTAGCCAACTGCGCAGGAGATATTATAGTGCACAAGTATACGCGCAGACACAAGTGCACTCTCTATTCCTGTCACTCTCATATTCCGGTGGGACGACTGCTCGACACGACCAGTGAGAGTTAAGGCGCAGGACCGACGGCTTTACGTGCTCTCCGAGGCACGGGGGTGACACACCGCCAACTTCCCAACTCCAAGCTATTACTGAGGCTTACTATACAGAAAGACTCAATAACTAAACTTGGCCCGACCCGGGACTCGAACCCAGGACCTCCGAATGTGTAGCCGTACATGCTAGCCACTACACCACGGAGGCAGTTAAATGTTTGAATGTATACACATTGAGTATATATATTACATGAGTTCCACGCGTGATTTGGATTACAGAATAGGTTTGGATGTTAATCTCTTAAATGACTTGAAAAGCTTAAATGATGATTATGTATGTCTGATAAGATTTGCTAGGAGTCCTAATGGGGAGAAGATCTTTTAAGAATTATATTATATTATATATAATAAGCCTATTAGCGTCCAAAGGGAGTTTTCTCACATAATATTTTTCTTTAATACTACTGAGGTACTTATACCTTCGTATTTTACGATAATAATATAAATGAAATTAGCGACTCACCCTCGCTTCGCTTCGGGTTTGTCCCTAGAGAAAAACAAATTTATCCAACAGAAACCGTAAATTTTTCCGGGATGAAAAGTAACCTATGTGCTATTCCAGACTATAATCTATCTCTGTGCCAAATCCAGATCCGTTCAGCCGTTCTGGTATGAAAGAATAACAAACATTCATCCATCCATCCTCACAAACTTTCACATTTATAATATTAGTATTTCGTATTCGACTGTAATGTAAATTCAATATTACTACTATGTAAATTAAATATAATACATTTTAAAACGTTTAAAACCCGATGTAAATATTGTTTTATACATGCAATGAAACTAATGAAATTTCATATATAACAAAGTTTTTTAATAATGACGTCAATGTTTTATTGTCGATATATATGTATATAGTATTTAGTATAAATCGGCACCCTTCACAAGTAGGTATTGAAGGTAGGACTAGGTTTTTATATTACTGGAGTAAGACCTACTCCGAGTGACCTGGCCGTCAGAACCAGTCGGCGTGTCAGAGACGAGCCGGCGCTGGCCGGCGGGCCACTGACCCCATGCCGGAAACCATGATGGATCGCTTGAGCACAAGTTATTGGCACACTTC